ACAGAAGGAAAAAACCTGCTGTTTTCAGGGTTTGGGCCAACTTCTCCCAGGCTGAGCTGCAGGAGGGATGAGGTCACTGCCTAAGGGCATAGCTGGACGTGATTCTGACCCTAGTGTGTGAGGTGCCTCCTCTGGGAGTGGAATCTACGCACTGTGGGGTAAATCAGGTGTAGTGCTGCTGCTCTGGAGTCTGGAATTCATTCTGAGGGACCAATGCAGGGAAGCAGCTGACTAGAGAAATACACAGAACTTGGATGCTCACCAGCTCTCACCAGTGAGTTCTCATCAGTGGGCTCTGACCAGTTCTCACCAGTGGATTCTGATCAACTTCTAGAAGAAACCCACCTAAGAGGTTCCTATGAGTCCCTGTGCCATAAAGCTTGTGCAAATCTGACATCACAGCCCTCAGCAGGACTCAGATATTGCTGGAGCTTGTAAAGTCCTTTCCTAGAGAGACTGTGAGCTGGGAGTAACACTAGAACATCAACTAGGCCAGCAAGTACCAGTCAAGAATGTCACCTCAGAAATACCTCATGCTAAACAAAGCTCACCTGCTTCAGCACAGACCTCAGGCTATTTTCATGCCAGACAAAGGCAGAAATGAAGAGGTTATTTGCTTTAAGAATAAGTAGTTCAGTAGAATATCATCAAATCACTTGCAGATCCAAAGCGAATCAGCAATCCATTTAAAACATTTGGATTACCCCCTGTTGATGCTTCATGCCATTCCTCAGATGAGGTTCGTTTGGTTTGGTTTGTTCTGCTTTAGTTTTCCTTTCTACACTGGTCTCTTACATGACAATTTGAAACACAGACCCAAAATGAGAAATCTGAGCTACATGATTTTAGTATTTACATTAAATGGACCTACCCTCAGTGCTTTTCTCAGGAACTGGATGTGAGTGTTACAACAAGCAGTGGAGATCATGAAAAGAGAGATCCAGGGGTACAGACCTGGCACAAAACCCACCAGGAGTTTTCTCTGCCAGAACAGAAATGAAAACTACAATGAATCAGATGCAATTTATAAAGAGAAATGAGAGAGACATGCAGAGAACACAACTGTGTTCAGGGAAAATTAATTGTAGCCACAGAAATAAGCAAATGCCCTTAAATCAGGAAATGTCATCATGGAAATGTCTCCAGGAGTCTCAGTGACTCAGCCACAGGTTTCTGGCAGTTTCCATGTCACATTTAAGGCCTCAACCCCTCAGAGAACACATTTCTGTCCTCATTCATCAAAAGATCATTAGGGTATGATTTTCCAATCTCCTTTCAGCACTGCTTTACCTTGAACTCACACCCAGGCACACACACACAGTCCTGGACTCTCACATCCCCCTGCAGCGTCCGGACAGGGCATGAAATGGATCTGTGGCATTCCCAGGGCAAAATTCCAGGCTAATCACAGCTCCCATCCTTCCAGCCATCCCTCCAGCGTTCATCCACACGGGAGCAGTCAAACTCAGCCTTCCCCAGCTTCCTGTTCACTTCGTTGTGGAGGAGGCACAGCCACTGGGAGAAGTTGTTCCTGGTGCTTGTGTCAGGTTGGTTTTGCTGTAGTCTGCATACAGGGAAGTGAAATCAATGTTAGCTCCTTAGAGTCACCAAATTCAACTGCCAGAGCAGCTCTGAGTCACAAGAGAGCAGGAATTAGCTGTAAAACACTGATTCCAGAGAGAGCCCAGGGAGAGAAGTAATTAGCTATGAAACACTGATGGCTGCAGTTTGGTTTCATTCCCTTTCTGTCTTAGTAACTGGAAAAGACACAGGAGTCAAAGCTTAGCTGATATAAAAAGCAACAAGTACTTGAGTTCATCATAACCCTGAATAAAAATGAATAAAAAAGCATAATAAATGGAAAACTGAGCAGTTATTTCACCCTGCGATGCCTGATAAGACAATCATTAGGTTTCAAACTCTTTTGGTATGTTCAACTGAAAAAGAGGAATTGAAACTTCTGAGGAAGAAGCTGATAGCAACAGAAAACTTTACCATAGAACCCTGGAATGGTTTGGGTTGGAAGGACCTTAAAGCTCATCCAGTTCCCCCCCCTGCCATGGGCAGAGACACCTTCCCCTGGACCAAATATCACAGCCCATTATGCTCTTTACCTCTTCCTTATTTGTCAACAAAGGGGATTTTAGGGGGTAGAAGAACACTTGCCTCCTGAAAGCCAAATTACTCCAAGTCCCAGTTTAACTCCATAATGGTTCACAAGCTCAGTTTGAACCAGAAATGTCCAGAATCACCCCAGGGAGGCCTTGGAGGCAGCACACAGCCCAACGGCACAGGTTTGTTGTTTAAGTGTCTTAAATGTCTCTGTGATTGATGCAATAATGGAAGTAACTAGCTCAGGTAGCTATAAAACCCAACTGCAGGAAGAGCTACTCATATGCAAATAGCTGCTGCAGCACAGCACTTGTGGCTAGGACCTTCAGCACAGAAACCTGCTCATGCCACTCACCTCTCCCTCACAGCCTCAAAAAACCTGCTGAGGTCACTCACCCCTCTCTCAGGTCTCTAAAAACCACTGAAACCACTCATCCCTCTCTCAGGTCATGAAAAAAATCCACTGAGGCCATTCACCACTCCCTCAGGTCCTCTAAAATCACACTGAGGTCACTTGCCTATCCCTGAGGTCCTCAACCCCACCCTGACTAAACTCACCTGTCCCTCAGGTCCTCAGCGCAGTGCTGGCAGGGGTAAAACTTCGAGAAGAGGTGGATGAAGTCCCTCATCTCCTCCTGCTGCGCCCTTGTGGGGCTGTCAGGGTAGTAGGCTGCCATGGTGTGCAGGAAGGCCCAGGTGCTACGGCCCAGCTGCTCACTGTCCAGGGGACAGTCTGGTGGGGGCTCCTTCTCCTCCGTGGCTGTCAGCTCCTGGAGGGGGACAGAGGGTTGAGAGGGGACACCAGGGGTTGGAAACCAGGGCAAACAGCATGGGAAACAGCTCCTTTGAGATGGGTGAGATGGGGGACAGGTCCTTCACACTCTCAGGAGGGACAAAGAGAAAAACCCCTTGATATCCTCAGTGGGGACAGCGCAGAGCCCCCTGATACCCTCAGTGAGGACAAGGGCAGAGCCTTCTTCCCACCCTCCGTGGGGATAAAGGCAGAACTCCCTTTAGCACCTCAGTGGGGACACGGACAGAGCCCCCTTATACCCGCAGGGGGAACCAATGGCAGAACCCCCTCCAGATCCTCATTCAGCAGAGATGCGGTGCCACCTCGGGGGGACACAGCAGAACCCCCTCAGACCCTCACTGGGAACGTATCAGAGCCACCCTCACACCCTCAGTGGGGACAGGGCAGGGTACCCTCACACCCTCAGTGGGGTCAGAGCCCCCTGCACACCCTGGGGGAAGGTGGAGACCCCTC